AACAAAGACTGAAGTGCATGTAGCAAGACTCCATGCTCTCTCTTGAAACCCTCACAATAAAAACTTAAAGACTCAAAAAAAAAAAAAAAAAAAAAAAAAGAGACCAGGTTTTGACCTAGTCTTTAGAGCATCTTTCCATTTAACAACAATTCCTATTCAAGAATCAAGCACCACAACTGGACAGCTGCCTCTACAAGACTGTCTCTGTCCAACAGTGGTACCCCAGAGAGTTTAAGTGCCACGCCTCATCTGAGGCTGTACTTCAGTAATACTTTCAACTTTAAGTCTGTGCTTTAAGAGGGACCCACAGGCATGTGGCACCAGGCAGAGCACAGTCCAAGGCTGGCAAAGGAGACTGTGCTGTTTAGTCACCCACACACTCTCTAGCGAGATACAAAATTGCATTTACACACCTTTCTTGCTTTTCTTTTAATAATGATCCCTCTTAATCTCGCCAGAGACGGAGGGAACAGAGAGCTGCATCAGTACAAAGGCAAGAGTTTTGGTCAAAATGTGATGCCTTTTAAATTCCTTCCCCCCAACCCTTCCCTGGAAAAAAGTTACTTTATTAGCTAGGGATCGCATTCAGAATAAATCAGCATTGGCTGGATAGAACATACGTGGCTTGGATTCCAAATAAATGAACTCGTTCTTTTTTGAGTTTGTACTGTGCAGCTCTTGCTACAGTTGGAAGGAATTAGGGCTATGTCTAATCAGGAGGCATCTGCAGGATTTTGAACCTCAAGGAATCTGAGTCACAAACAGTTTCGTGTAGAACTAGGCAGAACCAAAGAGCAACTTCAAATTGATTTCTTTATCCTGATGAGTTAAGCTTGAAAGCATTATCATATGCAGGACTTAAATTTAAGATTTTGACAAACGATGGACTATGGAAATGAAATTTTTAAAAAATCAAGTTTTTACCTTTTTCTCCTAGATGCCTCCTGATTGACGTAGTATACTGGGTTAAAAGGGATTAAAAAACATTAAAAAAAAAAAAAAAAGTTCACTGGTTGATTCATCTCACTCCTTTTGCCTGGAGATCAGGCCAAACATCAAGCATGTTGGGAGGGGCACAATTTAAAGCAACACTACTGACTATAAAGCATCTGCCAGCAATTTACAATGCAAAACAACAGGTAACAATTCTTGTCACAGAAGATGGCAAGCAGTTTTCTGTAGCACTGTAGTAACAGTTCTCTCAGGTTGCCCATTTCTGCAAGAGTTTATGTTATCAAGGTGGGCAGAGGACAACACTTATATACACTACAGGATATGATCCATAGGTATTTAGCTTCAGAACTGCTGATGTTACCAAAGCTGGTACTGGTTAATATTCTGAAATGCAAACTCGTGCTTTATACTATACACTGTCACTCATTAGAATCTCCACACTGCAAGGTAGATTAATCACTGACCCTTTTTGTAGAGCTTTAAAAGTTCAATTTTTAAAAAAGGGGGAAAAGAAGTAAAATCAGAGAGCTTCTCAAAATAACATCTTGAATTACAAATTTTTGAACCTTCCTTGCTTGCTCTCTGATGGGTCTCCTCCAAAGGTACTAGATGAGACAGTGTAGCATAACACATTGGATCCGACTTCAGGGTCCCTTTTCTAATATAGGATCCCTGTAGAGATCTTCTACAATATAAGGCCAAGGTACATTTAGAATTTAGTGTTGCGGAAAACTGAGCCCCTCTCATCTTCAGCTGCTCCCATAATCACTCTAATCCCCTTAATCCCAGCAACCTTCATCCAAAACAAAAAACAAAACAAAACAAAAATATATATATATATGTATATATATATATGAACCCAGAAAAAAAAAAACTTATTTACAAAGTTTATACAAGTATACACACCCAATTTTCTATGGGACACGCTTTACCACAGAGGAAAGAGGGTCAAGGCTCTGACATGTCTACATATCAAGTGCCATAACTGCTAATGGAGGCGTATGTAAAACCAGTCTTTAGTGTTCTGCTACAGAGCACAAAGGCTTGTCATATGGCTCCTGCAATGACAGACTGCTCTTTCCTTTGGGAGCGATGATGGTGCATCTATTCAGCCCAAAAGAAATTTTTACTTGGGATTTTTTTTTTTTTTTAAATACATGTATTTACAGTGCGGATGAACTGCAGTTGCATATCAACTCCTCCACATAAAGAAAAATAAAAGGTGTTTAACATTACTATTATGTTTCATCTTCCAGCCCTGGGCTTGAGTACGTGTGTAGAAAGGGAAGAGAGAAACTTCAAAGTGAAACCAAAACAAAAAGACAAAAACTGAAGGAAAAAAGAAAAAATTACTCGTTGATTCCTTGGGCTGTGTCTGAAAGATGATATTCTGAATGGTCTCATAGCATAAGGCACTTCGCACAAATAAGTAATAAGCTCTTTAGGCTTAAAAAACGGATGAGTAACCAAGGAGAAGTTGAAATGCACTCGGAAGTCAGCTGTTGGAGAATTTTGAAACTGCAGACAAGCTTGTGTGTTCATCAAGATTCTTCTCTTTTCAGGGTTTCTCCCCTTCTCTTCTTTCTCCTCCTTCCTTGTCCCCCTCCCCCAGAATTTTTTTTTTTTTTTTTTAAAACCAGCAGTTAGTGCAACTAATGTTCAGTCAGCACACAGTGCAAACAAGTGGAACAAAAAAGGTATATTCCTTCTTTTCAGCTTTTTTCTCTTCAGCACTTAAAAAAAGAAAAAAAAAAAGAAAAAGAAAAATGAAAGTCTGAGCTCTTTTAAGTCTTCATAGTTCCAAAAGAAAAGATGATGAAAAACACACAAAGAGAAGAGCATCCCCCGAAAACGATGTGTCACAGATCCAAACGGGCCTTCTGTTTGTCAAAGCCTAAAGGGAGGAAACCAAAAATTAACATTTGTGAAAATAACACAAACTAGAACATATAAGACTATACAATCTTTTGTTGTTGTTCAACGCTGTCCAGTCCATTCTGACTAAAAGTAATACAAACTAGAATCACAACAGACTACATATAAATCTCTTGGTACACCTAAAAGCTCTAGACTGTCATTTCTAATGCCTTTATTTGCCTACTGCAGAACCCAGGCATTCCTCCAAAAAGAGACAGAAGCCAGAAAATCCTGGTAATAGCACTCGTCAATAACAGTTCATGTATATATATATGTTGTTGTTGTTGTCAAGTGCCGTCGAGTCGATTCCGACCCATAGTGACCCTGTATAAGGTTTCCAAGGAGCAGCTGGTGAGCTTGAACCACTGACCTTGCAGTTCAAACGGCTTTGTTGTTGTTGTTATGTGCCGTGGAGTCTGTTCCGACTCATAGCGACCCTGTAACAGGGTTTCCGAGGCTGTAAATCTTTACGGGAGCAGAACGCCTCATCTTTCTCCTGCGGAGCAGCTGGTAGTTTCGAACTGCTGACCTTGTGGTTCACAGCCCAATTCGTAACCACTATACTACCAGAGTGTGTATATATATATATATTAAATGTTACCATGAACTGAATAATTTGCCAATGTACAAACAAAATCTAGCTAAGCTAGCTTTGAGGGTTTTATGTTTAAAATCAAGTATTTTCCTTAGAAAAATATCTGCAACAGCCAAATTCCTTTATGTTGAGGCCAAGAGTCACCAAGTACAGAAATATGATGTGGTTGTGCAGGGTATCAGATGGGTTTTATAAAAAGATAGTTAAGTTATCCTCATACAACCCTACCACACAACTGTTAATAAGGTGATAAAGCTAATTTTACCTATTATTAGTGCACTCATTAGAAACTGAAAGTGTGACGGGGCTCTGTAGGATAAACACTGGACTGTGAACAACAAGGTCAGCAGTTTCAACCCACCAGTTACTCTATGGGAAAAAGATGAGGCTTTCTGCTCCTGCAAAGAAATAACAGCCCCAGAAACCTTATACAGGGTTGTGAAGATGAGTTCTGTTCCTGCAATGACTTACAGTCCCAGAAACCTTACATAAGGTTGTGATAAACTGGCACTGACTGGACAAAGTTTAACAACAATAACATCAACTTAAGAATGAATTATAAAAACAGGCATGACTTGAGTAATAAAGACAAAAAAGAACAGAAAATATTTAGAAAATACTTTCATAATTTTCTTAATCAAACTTGCTGGAAAAAATTCCTACTTTGCTTTTCATTATTTTCAGAGTTTACCATAAAATACCACTCCATTAAGGGAGATTGCATTCAAGAACACCATTTATAGATTCTCTAATGAGACACCTGGTATGGTGTTGTGGGTTAGTGTGCTAGACTGCAAGGTCATTCTGACCCACAAGGTCAGCAGTTCAGCTCACCAGATGCTCCTCAGAAACCAATGTAGGGTTGCTATGAGTCAGAACCTAACTGACAGCACTGTAACAACAACAATAAGACTCCTGGTGTGGTGCATGGATTAATGCGCTGAACTGCAAGGACGGTTTCAACCACAAGGTTGGCAGTTCAAGCTTACTAACTGCTCCTCAGAAACCCAATGCAGGATCACTATGAATTGGAACTGAGTCTACTGCACATAACAAGAAGACTCCTGGTGTGGTACTGTAGGATAACCACAAGGTTGACAGTTCACACACACCAGCTGCTCATCAGAAACCATATACAGGTTGCTACAAATCAGAATCAACTTTACAGCAATTAATAACAACAGTTACAAGACTAAATCTCACTCAAGAGCTACTTATGGTTTACAATCATTTATGCCAACAGGTATTTTACCCTTTATTACTATTCTACATGGTGGGACACCAAATTTCCTCCAGGAAAAAGAGGATTATTGATGTTTTTCCTTTCTTGAAAGATTTGGATCATTTGGATATTCTGTCAGGTACGCACATGCTTGTTAAGGTTTCTCATCTTCTACAGGCTCGCTATGGTATTCTGCCACATACAGGCTCTTGTCAATGTTGCTTGGAATAGGTTTAATTTCTGTTCCCAGCTGCTCCTCAATACTTTTCAGGTTGAAGCGATCATCGTATGTAATCAAGTTGATGGCCAAGCCAAGGTGACCAAAACGACCTAACCAAAATAAAGACAATTAATAGAAAAACAAGCTAATAATGTATGAGAATAAATGTGTAAATCTGTAAGCAGCAAAACTACATAATGCCAGTATTTCTGTTCAGTGCCATTCTGAGAACATGAAATCACTTTCATGGTCTCCTGGTGTGGCACTGCAGTTTAATGCACTAGACTGCAAGACTGGTTTGAATCACAAGGTTGGCGGTTCACGTTCACCGGCCAATCCTCGGAAACCCTATACAGTGTCTCTATGAGTCAGAACCGACTCAACAGCACTAGACAACAACATATACACATATTACCCTGAATCTTCAGTTTCACAGTCCAAAGTAGTACTCTATATACCACCTTTTTCAAATGACAAAATGGATGTTCCTTTGCAACAAAAGTTGCCAAAATATACATGCTAAATAGTAGTGTTACAGATTGTACCAGTTAATATCTTTACCTGATCTTCCAATACGATGGAGATAAGTCTCTGCCAGCTTTGGGAAGTCAAAGTTTATCACCACATTCACAGCTTGTATGTCAATACCTCGGGTAAACAGATCTACAAAATACAATTTTCATTTTGTCTTAATTTTTATATAAAATACTTTTTGTGAATTGAATATTTACAGATCATCAGTTTTTTATTCAGCAAATCATTTCCTTTGCTCCATTACAATGGTTGCAATCCCTCCATGTACCATCAGTTAACCTAGCTTACTCACTTTAACTATTACATTCCTCCCATCATCCTTCCTCTGCCAACACTGCTTTTGTATACTGCTTGCCCTGTCACCCATGTTAACATGTATATAGCCACTGGATAATTTTCACTCCCCTTTCCCACCATAATTACCATTAATTTTTTTTATTAATTAAAAAAACTTGTCTTAACTTTTTATATTGATCTCATACAATATTTGTCTTTTTGTAATTGACTAACTCCACTCAGTATAATGTCCTCCAGCTTCATCCATATTGTGAGGTATTTTGCAGATTCAGTTATTCAACATTGCATAGTATTCCACTGTGTGTGCCAAAATCTGTGTAACCATCCTTCTGTTAATAGCATTTGGTGTATCTCCATCTTTTTGGTCTGTCTGTTGTAGACAGCATATTGAAGGATCTTGCTTGTATCTTGTTTCCTATCAATTCTGTTATTGTCTATCTCTTGACTGGTGCATCTACTCCATTTACATTCATTATGATTATCAATAGGTCTGAATTGATTACCGTCATTTTGCTGTGTTTTCCTGTGGTGCTGCTGGTTTGGTTTCTTTATGTCACATAATTTCTGTGCTGAGTTCGTTTTGTGGGTTTCTTTGCATTTTCATTTCTGATTTTTTAATGATTACAAAATCTTTCTGATTTTCCTTTTTTATTTTGATGGGAAGGTGTGTTAATTTTCTTTGGGATTACCCTGTAATTATTATTTTTCCCCAGTTTAAAACAAGCGTGTTTTATCTTGCAATCTATTTGACTCCCTCACCATTTGGAAATTCTGTATCTACACTATTCCCTCCTTTTCTTTGTAGTTGACCTTCATTATGAATTAATATCTCTGGTTCCTTATAATCGGTCTTGTACATTTGATTTAAACATTTCTAAATTGGGATTGAGTTATGGGTGTTGTTGTCATGTATGTTAATCTCAGGTTGTTGCATGCTGTTGGTAGTTCTCAGTCCAAAGATACCGTTTAGTAATTTTTGTAAAGCTGATCTGGTTATTACAAATTCCTTTAATTTCTGTTCATCTGGAAATGTCCCAATTTTGTCATCCTATTTGAGGGGACAGCTTTGCTGGGTATATGAATCTTGGATGATAAATTTTTTCCTTTGGAGTTTTGTACATACCATCTCATTCCTTATTGACTGAATGGTTTCTGTTGAGAAATCAGGACTTAGTCTTACTGGTTTTTCTTTGTAGGTAACTATTTGTTTTTCTCAAGCTGCTCTCAGGATTTTTTCCTTGTCTTTGATTTTGGAAAGTTTAATTGTGGTACATCTTGGTAGTTTTCTTTTGGGAGTCTTCTAGTCTTTCATGATGTTGTTGCTGTTATTAAGTGCCGTCAAGTCGATGCCAACCCATAAGTGACCCTGTATAGGGTTTCCGAGGAGTAGCTGGTGAGCTTGAACTGACAACCTTGCAGGTTCATTCAAATGACTTTGCAGTCTGGCGCATTAACCCACAGCGCTACATCAGGACTCCTATGATAAAAATTACTCATTAAATCTTAAGAATCTTATCACCATCTCCTTTCACTAGATGAGAACTATTCAGCGGAGATTCTACATCCCCCCTTCCCTGCACACTCTGAAAACTTGTAAGCCAGTTACTTTTTGCCTTTATAGCCACCTCCATTTTAGGTTGTTGTTGTTGTTCTTAAGTACCGTGGAGTCGATTCCGACTCATAGTGACCCTGCACAGGGTTTCCGAGGCTGTACATCTTTACGAGAGCAGAACACCTTATCTTTCTCCCGAGGAGCGGCTGGTAGTTTTGAACTGCTGACCTTGAGGTTCATAGCCTGATTCGTAACCGCTACAGTAGGCAATGTCTAAGGTGCCTGTCCCTATCTACCCTGTATACTTTATGTGAAGACTCCTTCCCTATCAGTTGGTGTTTTGAGCTATTATATCCATAAATGTTGTCAGATTCATCAAATCGTAGCAATTTACACTTGTTTCCTTTACCAAAACCCTTTTTTCTTCAATCTTACTTACGCTAGTCAAGTTCTGATCATCAAGCCACTGAAGCTAGGTTGATTGGGTACTATCTAGAAATTTGGGTGTTCTTGTGTCTCTCCCCTCACTTCGTATCAGCTGGATGCTTCACTCTCAGCTCTAGCCCTCCAAGGCTATGTCCTTGTCCATGGGCTCAGTAGTCCCCAGGACTCACCATACTTCAGACTAGGCAGCCATTCCTCTTCTCTCTCTCATCTCTAGGTCAATCAGAGTCCATGGAACGTGGTTGAACTCAGCTCATTTCTTCATTGCTGCCTTTCCCTCACTTCTACTCACCAATCAACGTGGTCACCAGCAAGCTTATTTGACTGCTCATGTATTCTCTTTGAGTTTTAGTTTTTTGGGGGTAGTTTGTCCTTGAGGGACTTGATTGTTTGCCTTGATGGTTCCCTGGCGAACAACTTACTTGTTCTTATAGTAGTCAATCAGACTGCCATTTTTATTTTTGGATTTTTCCTGCAAGAAGTATCGTCTGTTCCTCTAGCTGTTCCAGGCTGGTCTGCTTGTCCGTTCAAGTGGGAATGTCCCACCTCAGAAGATTCTTGATAGGGCTCAGGGTTCTACCTAACATACTATACATTACAAAGTAGGGAGCCTTCCTGGAGATTCGAAAGAGGTAATCTTGACAGATACAGGAGAATCATGGGAGTTTTTTTATGAAGAAGTTTTAGAAAATGGAAAATTGCACTGAGGAGATAAAGGCCAGGAGAGTTGCACCAAGGAATTTTAATTCAACATGACAAAGTAACTGCTCATTCTTCTAAGATAGCAAGGGTTGTCTTAGGAGAAATTTACTGGGTATCTTACCTCAACCACCCTGCAGCCCTGATCTTGTCCCTTTAGACTTTTTGTTATCCAAACTCAAAGAACATTAAAAAGGAAAAAGATTTGAGTCCCTGGAGAATATCAAAACTTTTATTTTGTCATGGTGTAAACAGAACACCAAATTCTTCTGGGAAGGTTATAAAAATGGAAATATTGTCTTCAGAAGTATACAGACTTAGATGGAAGATATGTTGAGAAACAATAGCCTCATCTTTTCATATTTTTTTAATAAAAAATTTTCTTATTTTTTAGTAGTACTTTTTGATGAACCCTCATATAAACTTGAGACTCAAAAGTAGTTTTCTTTAGTCTTTCTAGCATTTAATCCAGTATTTAATACATGATCAAAATATTTTTTAAATTTCATTGTATAAACCTAGAAAACCTCAACAAGAGTACTACTGTGACGTAGAAATAACTGACTCCATTCTGCAAAATGACTTATAATAGGGTTGAGGTGAATGGATATGCATGGTTATTATTATCCTATTCCTTCTACTATTCTTTTTATTTCTACAACTATGCTAGTTCAGGCTTTTAAAACTATGAAGTAAAACATTATAGGCTTCCTTACTTCCTAGTTTCCTTACTTTTATCTGATCCTCACTCCTAAAAATTCATAATGCCCACACTAACATTTTAAAAACCTTCTTAGAATTTGTACACTAGTTCAAATTACCGCCAGATAAAAATCTCAATTTGTAGGTCCTCCTCTACTCTATAATCTGGTTCTAATTTACCAAACATGTTTCCTTAAATTGTCCATCTCTACCAAACTTGTCTACTTATCCTTCCTTTAATAAATCTTTCTCTGGACCATTTTTTATTCCAATTTCTCACTTAAACTTTGTTCTTCCATATGCATGAAACTTAAATATAAAAAACACCCCCAGTTTCTGTGGAGCTGATTCTGAATCATGGTACTCCAGAATTTTCAGGGGTTGATTTTTTAGTAGATTATTAAGCCTTTCTTTTGAGGCATTCACGGGTAGACTTGAATCTATAACTTTCAGTTAGTAACATGAGTACATTATTGTTGGCACCACCAGAAGACTCCATATGAAAAGTTATCTAGCTTTTTTAAAGTGAAGTTAAATCCCATCTCTTCTCAGACCACCTAAGCCAGTTATTTTTCATTCCTCTGAATTCTTAATTATTCATACTTCATGTATTTGCAAGTAACTTTTATTATTTGTTGTATGCAGTCCAACACCTGTTTTATTGCAATACAGCCAAGTCCATTTGTTTATTCATTACCTCAGGCAGCTTTTGAACTATAATTGGCGGACCTGAGTATTTGTAACTGACACTGTACGGTACACAAAATCTAAAACATTTACTATTTGGCCCTTAAAAAAAAAATTGCACACATTACCTTAGAATCTTATTATTAACATTTACCTACCTGAATGAGATTTTCAAAATGACATATAATAAAAATGAAATATAGAGAACATCCAAGGTCATTATGAGTAGAGGTCAGAAATGTTACAATTTAGACCTAGGGGGCAATGAACTTAAAGGGGAAGGAACAACTCAGAAATGGAGGGTGAGAATGGTTACACACTTGAATATAAATAATGTCACTAAGTGGTACATGGAGAAACAGTTAACTAGTGTATGTTTTGTTGCGCATATTCTCATCAAGACAAAATTATATATTTAACAATAAAAGGACATAGACCCTATGTTAAAACTCTAGGAGTATAATATCCTTCCAACTAAAGGACAGATATTTAATAATTTGAGTATTTTACAACATACTTAAAATGTCTGCAGATAAATATAAGTGTGTCAATTCAGTTATGTCAGCTGTTCTTTCAAATGTAAAACAGAGATGCCAAATATATTACAGCCCTTTTCATGAGTGATTTTTTTCAAGTAAGCAAATTTAAAATTCTGCTAGAAAAAAACTGGAGTTCATTTCTAGAGAAGCGCCTTTAAAAAATCAGAGACTGAGATCCTTAATATCTGGGTCTAGGTGGTGGTTTTATGCAAAAACTGATTGGACAATATACTTAAGACCAGTGTAATTAGTTGTCTATGAGTGTTTAAAAAATTTGTAGAAATATGGAATTAAAAGACAGTGGAATTTTTCCACAAATTTTTGAAGCCCCCTTGTATATTATAAATTCAATTAGAAAAAAAAACTTATTTATTTTTCTTTATTCAGAAGCCTAGTTTATGTTATTCATCTCATGCTGCAAATATAGTTCAAATATAGAGATAAAGAGTCTCTGAGTGGTACAAATGGTTAGTGTGTCTGGCTGCTAACCAAAAGGGGGGAGTATCTGACACACAGGCGTGAGTGAAAATCAACTTGATGCCTTAAGCACTGAATTCATGTGCTCTGTATGCATATAGTGAAATAAACCAAAATTATATACCCATCTGATTCTGGGGAAAAATTAAAAGGCTTAAAATAATCTCTGAAACATTATGCAGTTTCTTAAAGCTCTTCATTTTGTGTTGGCTCAATCTCATATAGTGCAACTTTTCAGAAAACACAAAAATCTCAAAAGTGGTTTAAAAGGCAGAAATATGACCAATGAATGCCAGAACAGGTCTTCTGCAGTTTCTAATATGGAACTAATTTTAAGAGTTAATGCTCATTCTAAAGTTTAGAAATTCTGGTAGTAATAGCAGAATGGGCTGGACTATACTAGAGGTTAAAAGAAACTACAAAGTACTTACCAGTGCAAACAAGATTTCGGCATAAGCCATTTCGGAAATCATGAAATACACGATTTCGATGTTCCTAGGAAAAAAAGAGATATATTCAATTTGATTACAACTCAAACACACTAACCCAAAATTTCCATTACTGTTTCTTCTCAAACAAAGGAGATGAATCAATCTTATATGTAAATTCAAAGGGTTAAAAAAAAACCCCACAAAATTAGTTCCCCATGAAGTCAATAATTAATAAATATTTATACATTTCTGCATATAGTATTGGGGAGCACAGTGGTTCTATAGGATAAGCACTGGACTGCAAAATAAGGTCAGCAATTCAGGCCCACCAAATGCTCTGTGGGAGAAAGATGAAGCTTTCTTTTCCTGCAAAGATTTTATAGCCTTGGAAACCCTATATAGGGTCACTATATATTGGAACCAACTTGACAAACATTAACAACAGCATACAGTATCTATCTTACCTCTTAAAAACATTTTATCTAACGGGGGAAGGATTACATGGAGGGGACTGTAACCATGGCAATGAGACGATATACGATAGAATGAATGTAAAACCAATGTTCTCCCATTAAAACTATCATATAATTCACAATAAAACATTTAAAACAAAACAAAACAAACATTTTATCTAGAGAGAACAAACAAGATGGTGAATCGGGTGGACGTGTAGTACAGAGCTCCACCACCAACAACACAGAATACCTGACCAAGCAGGATCAGGGGATGGTCCCAGAAATCTGAACCACATATAAAGGAATACTTAGAAGATTGGAAGGCTCACAGCTGGGGGAATTTGTGGCAGAAGCAAGAAATCTATTGCTTTCTAGTCTGGG